CAACTCCACTCTCAACCAGAGTGGAGTTGAAATCTAGAGTAAACCAGTCCAGACCTGGTTTACTCTAACATCAATGATTCATTCAGAGCAGCCCCTGCCCCCACCTCGGGTCATCCGACCACCTATCTGTCATGCTAATTCCTGCATACAAGCTCCAGCTAATCAGGGCTAAAACAACAGTGAAGGTGGTCAGAGTGTGGACTGAGGGGGCCATGGAGAAACTCCAGGAATGCTTTAACTGGAACATGTTCAAAGCTGCAGCAACCTGTGACAAAAAGATAAATATAGATGAGTATGCCATGACTGTGTCAGCCTACACCACCCGGAACATCACCACCCGGGCCAACCAATGACCCTTGATGAATGGGGAGGTTCGGAAATCACTAAAAGCACGGAACTCTGCTTTCAAGTCTCGTGACAAAGAGGCACTGAGGACAGTGCGTGCCAGCTTAAACCGTGCCATCAGATCAGCGAAGCAGAGCCACAGCTGGGAGATCAAGGATCGTGTCCATGATGCCAGCAACACCAGGGGGATGTGGCAAGGCATACAGACGTACAGACGATCACAGACTACAACACACTGTCCCCCCCCCCGGTGGGTGCAGCTGATGTTGACTTCCTAAATGAACTAAACAACTTCTTTGAAAGGTTTAAGGCACTAAACAGCAATCCACCAGTGAAAGCCGTTTCACATCGGGGAGAGGATGCACTCAACTTTGACAAAGTTGAAGTGTGGAATAGTCTGGGAAGAGACAAGTCATTTAATGCTCTGAACTACCATATCAATGCATTTTTGGCAACGTGTTTTTTTTCTCCCATACTGTTTACATTTAATCACTGATGTACTTTATGGAATGGAAATGTTAATTTACTGTCTGAAAGCTGTAGTAAAAGAAAATTGGTTTTGTATACACTCTGTGTATACAACATGACAACAAAAGTTTTCTAAGTAAGTCTAAGTCTAACTTAAATGTTGTATTTTTTGTAATTTAAAGTGGACTTGAGCTTATTTTATTGCAATATGTAATTTACTTTTCTGAAAAGGTTAGAGAGGAGGGTTGCAAAAACGTTCTTGTATAAAAAAGGGGAACCAAGAGTGAAAAAGTTTGGAACTATTACATTAGTGCATTCAGCAGGCATGCATTGTGATAATGCCTGCATTTCCTTCCCTCCTGTTGCTCTCCATTGTTATTCATTTTAGGTGTTTTTTTTTTTTTTTTTTTGAGTTATGTAACATTTGCAATAATTGTGTAATTTTTATCATGTTGTTGTGCAGCTTTATTGCCCACCCCAAAAGGAGTGTAAACATGTACTGTAATATGTTTATTCAGACTGTCTAACATTGTTTGTAAACACACGTCCTACTGGATTTGTGTTAGAACAATAAATTAGAGTGTGACGAAGGTCAAATCGTGGTCTAACAGATAATTCTGCACATATATTGAATAAATTCACCAAAAATTCCAGTCAAAATATAACAATTTAACAAAAATCATTCTGCTCCAAGTTAAACATATAATAGTCTATAGTATAGACTTAAAAACTATAAACTAGTGAAACTCAACTAAAGTAACCACCATGTAGAGAAAGGAAAACTTATAGTTAAAAACTATAAGCAATGAGATGATGCTGGGCATGAGCAATGATGGTCGCTTCCATGATGGCTTCCTCTCCAATGTGAACCCCAGGACAGCTTACAGAAAGCAAGAAGGCACACCTCTGTAGGAGTGTTTTGTGAAACTGTCTACCGGGGAGGTAGAGTAAGTCAGCTACAGAGCAAACTTTCATCTTCCCCATTCAATGGACATGGTTAATATAGAGCAACAACTCTAGAAAGCACAAAAAATGTCAGCAACACATAAAGGGGATGGTTAGACTGATGTAAGAATAATTGGTATCAGCATCAGTCTTGAAAATCCTGTATTGGTTATTCTGTAATCTGAACACGGACAAAGGATTAGGGTATTGTTCCAAAGAACACAAGAGGCCCACAGTAGCATTGGAGGAGCTGAAGGGAGACATCTCAGGCGGTTGAAAAGGCCCTTTTCCCCTCATTTTTAGCCACTTGTAAAGAAAATAATCAAGCAGATGAGTTAAATATGTGGGCCTGGTTAATGAAAAAAGAAATGGGAAATCTCATTTGCCTTTAACTAGCAGCTTTCATTGGAGGCAGTATGATGCTGTGGGCCAGAATCTCTCATTGCTAATCTATGCTTGTCATAGAAATTGTAAAACACAGGTAGTTTTTATAGGCAGAAACCACATACTAAAATCTTTTCAACTTTCTTGCATATGTGGCTATATATTGAGTCAAATCCTAGCTACTGTGTATTTTGCAAAAGTGATATTCGTAATACTGCTGCCTGCAATATAGAACTAAAAGGATTTTTTGAGGAGAAAGCATAGTAACTTCTGTAATTATAAAATCTAACAGCTTAGGGACGCAAGGCAGCCGCAGACCCACAAATAATAAATAAGCCATTGATAAAAGTATAAAATGCTATTAGTTGTTTGCAGAGAAAAAAATAGCTCTTATAGATGGTGGAGGGTAAAAAACAATTACTTGTTTGAAGAACTTTGATTTTTTATTTTTTATTAGAAACATCTAAAGCCAAGAGCAGTGGAGGAAACTGAGCCTATCATGTAAAACACTTAAGGGGGCAGCATTAAACCACAAGAGACCCCTGAACACAAGGAAAGGAACATTAGTCTGGTTAACTGTGTCTTAGTTGCATGTCAGATAATAATTAGGGTTATTTGCCATTTGATCTGCTCAGTCTAACTATGATCAACAACAAGCTAAAAGCCATGCATGTATCTATATTTTGATCCTTAAATATTAAATATTACAGTTTAATACTGTGTGAGGAATCAACTGCTCTTTGCAGCTCTGATTTCTGCAGGTTTCCATGAAGATTGTCCAATGATATTACAAAGAATAAGAGGTTCATAACTATAGAAAGAATGCTGAACTTCACCTTAAAGGGATGGTGGAGGATGTTCTTTTTCCAGGTGGATCCTCAAAAATAATTCTGATGATATGTTTACATGAGCATATCCTACGTGCTTGTCCCCATTTTCTCTTACCAGTGGTGAGTCTGACATTGTGGAAAACCTGCTAATCTTCTTTTGGAAAGTAAGCTTGTACGAACGATATACACAACAACTTTTAAACAGAGCGTGCACGAGGAGAAATGGGCTCGTGCATTCTCTTACGTTTAATAGGCGCTCCCTCTCTGGAGCGGGCACAGGGTTTTTTTTGTGTATGTTTTTTTTTTTTTATTGAAAAATGAAAATCCACCACTATACCTTTAAAGCAAACAAAGAAGAGCCAAGCTGAACGTTTGGAGGCATATATAAGGAAATTATTTTGTCCTTCTAGTCATTTTTATAAAACAAGTTCGGTGCTTGCTCATTAAATTTCCTAACAATTATTATATTTCTTTATTAAGAATGGAAGTATGGTTGTATGAAAATCCCAGAGACAAGAAGAGGAGGTGGAGCTTGTATTTTTACCAAATGTTAGCTTGTTATTAAGGTATTAGTTTGATCCTGGTGATGAAGGATGTTTTATTTACATACCTACACAGGTGCGTGAGAGTTACTGTAGAAAGATGGAAGGGATGGATGTACGTTTACACCACTCCCTGCCTTCTTTTACATTTATTCAATTTAAGAAACAGTTGATAAATAAAACCCTGCTAATATCTTCAAAAAAGAAATGCTTTTATAGAATAAATAAGAAACATATCAGTCTTAACTTTCACTGATCTTTTTATTATGTTCAAGTTGTTTGCACATAGGATGGTAGGTACTGCTTTATGACAAGAGTAATAGTTTATTTTTATAGGTACCAGCTGGACATCGTCTCAGACTCTAATCTCTGCTCCTTCACAGTTGGTTGCACAAAGCTCCACCCACATGATGCTGCCACCATTGCATTTCATCCTGGGGATAGTCAGAGTGATGGCATGGGTTAATTTTTCATCATGCTTATCTTTTTGCAGGCTATGTCATCTGATAAGAGAATCTCCCACATGATTGCTGCGCCACCTTGAGGGTTTGTGGCAAACAAAACTTCTGATGGCTTTGAACTTCCCGCTCTAAAATAGCTTAATTTAAAGAGTGCATGACTTATAGATGCTGTCTCAACTGTTCAGATTTTCTCTGTGTAGCTAGAAGGTTGTGATGAGGTGCTGAATGGTCCATCTCTGCCCGCTGCACTTCTGAAGGATGAGTTGATAGTAAAAGTTGTCTCCCTGGGCGATCTCCAAGCATCTGTCTGTGGCTTTGTTCCTAATTTCTTTGCCCTGTGAAAGTTTGAGACAACATTAATGTGATAACACCGTTGTTTCAGATGGAAAGCATTGAGGCAGTGAAAAAAGCTCCCAGCTTACTTGTCTGAAGTCCCAGTTCATGTGTAACTGGTTGACCTTTGCCACCTTGCACTCATGCAGAGTTGGGATGCTGCCAGAACCTGGATCCACCAGGCAGCGGTTACTGCTGTATTTGTGAGATTTTATATTCCCTATGATTATTTCACCCTCGGTGTTGTAGTAACATCGCTGCAGGAAAGGAACATTTTCACTTTTTGGACTTGGTATTAATATTAAGCTCATATCAGTATCTTTGTTACCTGTGGTTCTTGGAAGTGGCACTCGTATAAAATTGGGATACTTCCAGGAATCGCTCCCTGATCCACACACATCCTCTTGTGAAGGCTGTTCTGCAGCTGATCAGAGTGCTGTTTCAGAGCTTTACATGTGTAAATGTTATATTTAAAAGCCTATTTCTTTATGTGAACAGTGTATATTATTTCAGAATAACTGGTTTTGCATGAACCCCTGAAGATGTTCCTTACCACACCGTAGCCCAGGATATTATCCAATCTTTCCAGACTGGTGTACACGTTCTCCAGGTACCAACTGAAAGGTTTACAACTCAGGTTCTTTCTGAGTTTTTTCCTCTCTGATACATCACCAATATCAATCCCATGATCCTGTTTGTTGATATCAAAATAGTACATGTTAAAAAGTTATATTTAGGTCGAATTTGTGCTAAATTAAAACATACACCATACACTTTAGCAGATGGAATATAATCAGCTAAATATATATATAAAGAAAATATATAACAGAAAATTTCAAATTGATAAATTATTTATTGTATCAGCAAACACTTACAGTGAAAGTTTTAGACCAAACCTTTAATTTGATAATATTTATTTAGTAGGGAAAAGTAATTATTAGTATTTTTTTCCTGACAGATATGTATTAGCTTTTGACTTTTCTACATTGTTATATTGTATCTATTCTAATGTTTTTGTTAAGGTTTGATTCATTTGCAGGTGGACAGGAAGTTGGGCAGAGAGAGAATAAGGCAGTAAAGGAAGCAAGTCATGGAACATGACATAGGGATGTGATGAGTGCAGGAAAAGTGGAAATAATTTTAAGTACATAAGGAACCAAGGCAGGAGCCAGGTTTGAGAGTAGAACGGAGCAGAGATGGACACAAAGGAAGCAACTGGGGCATTGGACTGAAAACATATGGGTCTGATCAGCAGCATGAATGTCAGCTGTCAGGTTAAAATATGCTGTTCTTCCTTTAAATGTGAGGAATCAGGATGGAAGGTCAGTAGAATACACAGAGAAGCAGGAAGCAAGAAACAAGAACCGAGTTTAGAGCTGTTAGAATAATTGTATGTAAATTTATCTGTGTAGTGTTATAATGCATAAAGCTGTGTGCTATGTTCATGTGATCATAGCCACCTTTTCTAAAGTATACTGTGATTTGTGGACTTGCTTTTGGGGAGGTTGTTGTTGATTTACGAACAGCATTAAACCTGCCCAACTTTGGTCAACAGGTACAACAACTGAACCTTAGAGGACATGTTTACTGACACTCCAAGTCTAAGTTCCTTATCTTTTTCCAGGAATCAGAATCAGAAATACTTAAAAAATCCCAGGGAGAAATTACTTTAGTTACATTACTCCATCTGTAATAGAATGACTAAGGGCAAGTTTAACACAATTTCATACTATACATAATTAGGGAGTCCTTGGCCTGGAAAACATTTAATACCCCTGCCCTAAACAACAGCATATATGTTGTCCTTAATCGAATGTGTGGAAACACATTCCATTAAGGACTGGATTTAAACTAAATCAGGTTTTTATTAAATTGAAACACCAGCCTTATGCTCTACAGGTTGTTATAACTAAAGCTTTGGCATTATTGGACAGTTTATTTCAGTTCTTAGTTTCAGACTCATGCTGTTGTTTGTTAAATTGAAGGCGGTATTTTGTGAATAAGGTCACAAACAAGTATCTAATCTATTAAAGTTAGGTGTTAACATTTAAAAGTGTTTTTCTTTTCTTTGACATTGATAGATACATGGAGCCTTGATCTATTTATTTGGAAAGACCATATTTCATATTTTCATATTTCATTCAGTTTTAATTATTGCGAACAGAACTAAGGTTTAAGGATGAACAGCAGAGATATTATTTCAAAAGTTTTGTGCTTTTAACTTGTTGAGGTTGCTGTAATGCTGAGATGGGGAAAACCTGATTTTTCAAATGTTAACTACAGCAGAATCACATGAACTTGGTCCAAATGTGTTCAGAAGTAATGGAGCAGGACACAGCTAAAACATGCAGGACACTGACTCCTGAAGACTAGATGTACATGGATTGCGCTATGGCCTTTTATTGCTGCAAGAAACGACCTTACTTTAGAATGGACTGTTACAGATGTGTTATTTAGGTTCTGCTTATATTAACTGTATCCAGACAAAATTACCAGCTATAAAATGGTTAAAGGGACAAAAATATTAAAATAAAGGTACCATGATTAAATAAATGTTGTGGTAAGTAACTGCAAATACCATATGTCTACCATTGTATATTTTATATATTTACTGCAACATTAAACAGGTAAATATGCAATTTAATCATGAAATCATTAAATTAAATAATTAAATGTCAATAAATTATGAATTGTACTGTTAAATAATTAAATAATGAAATCTTATTCTTTTAAAATACAATCATTTAAGAAACACATATAATTATTTCCGTCTGTATTTATTCAGAAGAGTCTCTACAAAATTATTTATTAGGTTTACTCTACCAATCAAATTATGTGGGCGGGACTAATGGCGATTATGAATGAAGTCTGGAGGCATTCTCTATGCATAACCACACCAAGCTGTCTGCTAAAAGTTATAGAGGCATTTTTCAGCAAACTCAGAGTCTTTTGTAAATTAATGTTAACACTGTCTTTTAGTTATCTAATTAATTCAACCACTTTTCACCCAAGACACTGACTTTAGGACACAGCAAACTTGGAAGAAGTTGTCTGAACCTGCTGTGCAAAGCAGCCAATCAGATGTTAGAGTCTGTTTTGCCCTCACCCAACTTAATCAGAGATTTATTTATGCCATGGAAAACTTAGATTTATATATGTATTTCATGATCTATTCATTTAAATATTTAACATAGTCCCTTTTAACCCTCAATTAAAACAAAATGTCAATGGGAAACAAGGTGGAGTTTTGGTTAAGGAATTATATATTACAGATTAATTACAACTTAATTAGTTGCTTGGTTGTGACAGGTGGTGTTTTGCCAACAATATAATGCATTCCTAAAGACAATGATAGTTTCTGGTTTATTTGGTTAGTCTTACTACACTCATCAAAGAAGAATTAAAATACTTCCTCTTTAGTCTCAATTAATCTTTCTTTTAGCCTTTGTCCAACTGAAATATTGAGCACAACTCACCTTAAGAGGAATGTTCCAGGCAATAAACACATTTTTCTTGTACTCATCCAACCAAATATCAGCAACCCTTAAGGCATTTCTCCTCATGGATGGATTGAGATCAGGTGCATATGGTTTGTGTGCTCTCTCGATGTGAGCTATCCTGGAGCAAGGCACAACCTCCACACTTCCTCCACACAGCCACACCTGAGCAGTCAATACAGATCAGAGTTCAGGAGTTATTGTGCTAGCCCCAATTATACAACAGTGTTTATCATTACTTAAACAATGTAAATAGAGTAGAATATAAAATCCCTTTATTGTCCCTAAATGGGGAAATTCTGGTGTTATAGAAACAAAAAGATTAGAGGAAAAATATAAATAAATATAACACCTGTGTAAATAAATAAGATAAATATTGCTGTTAAAATCTGCTGTCACTCACACGAATCCCAAATTCAACATTTTCTCCTCCGTAAACTGTCATGCCCCCATCAAGTCCACCGATTTCTCCAAGGAAATACCTGTCTGCTGCAAAGATGCCCATCACAGAAGGACTCCTGCATGAAAGACACAAAACAGCATGAAAAACTCAGACAATTACTTGCCTGCTGTACAAAAAGGCTGTACATAATACCAACATAGTAATAGTCACTTCACATTTGATCTTTAACCAAAAGAACTTCAAAATGCTTTTATATCTTAGATTTGAATAAAATCTATCCATCTGCCCGTCCGTCCATCCGTCCGTCAGGGTCATAGGGAGCTGGTGTGTATCTCAAGCACTTGAAAGGCGGGGTACACTCTGGACGGGTTGCCTGTCCATCACAGGCTGCTTTTAATATTTAGTACAGTATAAAATGGAAATCAAAATGGATCAACTAGTAGAACCTGTTACAGTAATCAATTTCTTTTTCTGGATCAGCTTTTGGGGTAATAGAAGGAAAACTTTGCAGTTACCTTATCTGCCTGTAAAGGATCAGGTCTGAAACCATCACTATACCAATTTAAGGCTTTAGCAGTGACTTCTATTTGTAATAACTAAGGTTTTGGGCTAACATTCAATTTTAACCTACTGAATTAAATGGCCTGAGTTAGATCTACTTTGGTCAAGAAAAGATTACCTAGATGCTGTTATTTAACTAAAGAAAATTATGGCACATCCATATTTGTTGTATGCAATGCATTGGCTCTGCCATCCCTGTTTTGTTGGAGTTTTTTTTTTTTTTTTTTATCCCTATCTTTTACTGAGAGATTCTTGAAAACACTTTACAGAGCAGTATTTTATTGTTTATCTTTTAACTCTTCACTATTCTAAGGTCCATATTTGTGTGACCATTTTTTCTATAATCTTTTTGGTGCTGTAAACACCAGAATTTCCCCATTGTTAGACAAAAAAGGGATTTTACTTTCTATTCTATTCTATTCTATTGTTTCTATTCTATCCTATTGTTTCGATTCTATTCTATTCTATTCTATTCTATTCTATTCTATACTAAAGCCTTTGTGTGTGTAAACCATCTAGCGGTCCTTGTTTACCAGCCTTTGCCTGACTGAGGAGAGAAAAATTAAAATAAATCTTCAACCTTTTGAAGAAAGTTAACTGCTCTGAGTATAGAGCAATGCAACTGAGTCATCCTATTCAGTTTTGTGATTTTTAGGATTTTTGATTTTAGAACAGGGGATATCAGGTAGCTAACTCGAGTCTGAGATCCAGATTTCCGGGTAGTTTCAGCGAGAATCCCTCATCAATGAAATGCAGAAAACATGATAAACAAAGGCAACAAGAAGAATATAAATTGTGAGCCAATATAAGTTAAAATATTAATTATTTCATTCAGAGATAGATTACAAATACATTAAATTACAGGCAAAACTGGTCCTGCAGCAAAATAAGAAGATTTAGCGTGGCAGAGACCAGTAACTGCATGAATGATAGATAATGACAGTTCATCCTCAAAAGTACACCTGTCTGACATGAAAAAAATGTGTGTGTCTGAGTACAGAGGTGAAATTTGCATCTAGGTGTAACCCAGCGGACACAAAAAGGACATAGCAATATATCAATGAAAAAATATAAAAGTGCAGTTATATGAGGTATGGCCCAGTTATCAGCTATTGTATTTAATCTTTACCTACTGCATTAGACAGCTTGAGTTAGGATTAGTCCACACATATTATAAACGTGTGAAGCTAAACCTTGGTTCATGGTTTATTATGAAAAAATTAAGACAATCCCTGTGAAATAGCTAAACAATTTGTATTTATTAGAGAACATGGAAGAGTGTTTATACATCTGATGCACATTTGAGCCATAGTAACAGTATAGGGCATACTTTTCTTGTGTATGATCACATCTAAAAGTGTAACAGATTGTGGATAGCTTCAAGAAGTTCATGAGTTGTCTCATGGAGTAACTTGCAGGATAAACTTGAGTTGGGATAACTGCTATCTTAGGTATACAGGTATTTAACCACAAACTTAATCCCAGTTCAAAAATATGTCTGAAATGGGGCTAAAATAGAGTAATGTTAACCACAAACAGGCTTAAATTAGAAGACCCTCTGACACCTATCCAGGAGTCTTGATCATTTCTGTTGGCTCACACCAGAGTAATCTGTATTCAGAGCTCAAAGTATTCATGCGGTATGAATTCTGCTCTCTCTTTATGGGGCACAATGGGTTATGATGAAGCTGGAAAATGATCCAGTGAACATTAACAAATCCAACACAGAAACTTCAATAATAAGCCAAATAAGGGTACATAGTGGCCTAGTCAAAGCTTCGGCTTAAGTCTAATTGATATGCTATACTATGATGTTAAAATTTCATGGTTATAAAAAACTTTCCTATTAGGCTGCATTAAAACAGCTTTATTATTCAAATTTATATTTTCAATGTTTGACATTTGTGACGGAGGGGATTTGTTCTTCAGACTAAGTTTGATATATATATAACTGATCAAATGTATCCACCTGTGGTGAAAAGGTCATGACTACATTAAACCTTCAAAATCCATTCTAGCTCACTGAGGGGTCAAAGAGAAGATCTCCTTTTTCCACATACTTTCCAGGCTGTGATTCGTCCCCTTCATTCCAGTCTGGTTTGAAGGGCTCATACATGCACCACAGAGCCCATTCAAAGCCCTGAGCGAACGGCATATATTTTTCTACATGTAGATCATCATAGTTGACCTTGTCAAACACAGGAGACACCACCACAGTCCTGTCAGCTTTGATCCTGGCCAACAAAGGTTCAGCCCTGCAGAAGATATAGTCAGCTACATGTTTTATTAAACCCAGCAGTAGATACTGAACTAGATTTACATTTATTTTTAGACAATTAGTGGTTATGAGAAGTTTTGTGCTTACCAGCCCAGAGTAGCTTCAATGTGAGCATCTAAAATGGCCACAACATCTCCTGTGGCCTTCTTCCAGCCTGTGATCCGGGACTGGGACAAACCCATCTGGCGTGTGTGCCAGATTTTTTTAATAAGACCAGGCATTTCTCTGTGAACCTCATCAATAAAGTCTTCCAAAGGTTTTCCAAGATCATCTAAAAAAAAAAAAGTTCTTCATTAAGGAGTACAGAGGGTACAGAGCATTTGGAAATACAGAGAAGTACAGGTTCCAAGTAACCTGAAATGAATCTGATCTTTCAAGGAGATTTTTGTTTGTTAAGCCCCAAAACCTGTGACCTGCCATCTGGGCTTAAACAAAATCTCCTGTATAAGATTAATACATGTGGGATCCGCAGTCAGGTGAACATACTAGGGTGCCTTATAACATCTTTGTATTTTTACACATTTGGAAATATTTAATGAATAGTAATACTGAACATTATAGTAATATAAAGTTAGGTGCTCCCGACTGCTAGAGTGAAAGTTAATCCTATGTTCATCCAATGATCTCTCTGAAGTTCTAAAGTGTATTTCAACCTCTGTAAAATCTCAATTCAATTAGATTCAATTTATTTATATAGCCTGAATTCACAGCACGTAATCTCAAGGCACTTTACAGAGACAATTCAACCAGATCATACAAACTGATTAAAAGTTTTCTATCTAAGGAAAACCAACTGATTGCTTCGACTCATTGACTCGAAGACAATCCCTCACACCAAGCATGCTTGTAGTGACAGTGGAGAGGAAAAACTCCCTTTTAACAGAAAGAAACCTCCAGCAAAACCAGACCACTCATTTTTTTCCCATTAATCGATTAATAATTGGTTATTAATTAATAAAAGGTTCCTTATAGAAAAGTTTTCACAAAATAAACAGTGAAACAAACTTTTACACTTGAGGAATTCTGGTTAAGCATATTGACAAACATGTTTTTTTTTTTATATCTATGCAAATATGTTTTTTTTTATATCTATATCTATGCAAAATATTTATACATTTTTTTCGTGTTTTTTTTTTTTTTTTTTTTTTTTTTTTTTTTTTTTTTTTTACAATTTTGGTATACTTACTGCTCGAAGTGGGTCCCTCTGTCAGCTAAAGGCATGTTTTAGATTCTCTATACTCATGATAACGATTACTAAATTAGTTGACGATTATTTCAATAGTCGATTAATAACGATAAGTTCAATTAATTGTTTCAGCCCTAACAAACTCCATCAATCCATTTTCTTACATGCTTGTCCCGAGTGGGGTCGTGTGGGGTGCTGGTGCCTATCTCCTAACAAACTCCCAAAAATATATTTTGTCAGAAGCCAACAGATGCATTACCCTTGAATAGATATGTTTCAAACCATTGAAATGCAGTGATGTGTACGCCCTTAACCAGAAGTGGCAAACTAATGCAAAACAAACATGGCTGGGCCATTTGATGTACCTCTAGACCAGGGATGTCAAACTGGTTCCAGAAAGGGCCGTGTGGCTGCAGGTTTTCTTTCCAACCAAGCAATGGCACACCAGACTCCATTCATCTCATCAAGTGAGTCCAGTCTTAACATGGTGACTTGATGAGATGAGTGGAGTCTGGTGTGCCATTGCTTGGTTGGAAAGAAAACCTGCAGCCACACGGCCCTTTCTGGAACCAGTTTGACACCTGTGCTCTAGACTCTGCTACTCAGTCTGTTTTAGCTGGAACGGCCTCTATTTCTTTATTAAATAGCCAAAATTATCCATTTTCATTCTTTGAGGAACGAAAAGATGTTTCTATGTTGGTATCGACCTGATTTGGAAACAGTTTGATTTATTAGTTAACTCTGTCGTGAAACAATTGAAGAAGCTGCAGAAGGATCTGATTGTTATCATGTCTCATTTAGTCACTCTCATGGATGACCATATGGCTTAAAGCTGAAAAGCATTACTGATGTAAAACTTGGCAAAAGTGGTTAAAAAGCCCACTGCTATGATTACCAGCTGGTATTTGAGAGCCCAGAGTCATGGCTGCTAATCTCTAAATGGATAGATATGCTTTTATCCAAGTTGTTCCAGGAAAACATTGTTGGGATTGTCACGGATGAATTACACATCACATTCAAATGGTAAGTAAATAAAAAACACACATCTGATTCATCACAGCAGCTATTGCTGCAGTGATTGGCTAAAAGCTTGACATGGGAGGCAGCTTACGCTTGGTGATTTACCCAATCAGCTTGAATAATTGTACAGAATGCACTTTCCACAGAAGCCTTTTTCACACGGATACTATGAAGAATTCAAATTGAACTACAAGTATGAATCTGGCTTATGCCAGGTTAACTGATAGGTATGCAGAGCACAAGTTTTTTTGAGGTGGATTATTTTCCAGCCCCCTCTGCACAGGAGGGTTAAGGAAGGCTTCTTGGAGCTCTGTGGACTTGAATCTTATCAGTTCAAGCCATGTGCTGACTTAGCTCAGGGTTATGGTGATTGAAGTCAGAAAAAACCTGTTACAGCTTGTAACATTTAAGGAAAATTCAACTGCATTTGCCACTGTTCAACCCTGCAAGGGCAGCAGTAAGGCAAATTTTCAACAAATACTACAGCGCTAAACAAGCCCACATTCAAACATAAGAAATAAAAAAATGGGGGTTAGTTACATTTTAAGAAAGGAAGCTGCGGATTTTCTGTACCTGCTAACGAAATTTAAATCAGCGGTAATCTGTGAGACCATCTTTATAATCGGTAAAGCAGAAATGGACCCCAAAATATTATGATGACCCAAAACATTTCACCAAGGACTGGTGGAGAATATTAGAAATGGAAAATTCTTGTATCTTGTTAAAGCTCAGTCTCACAGCTGGAAGTAAGGAGTTTTTTTAAGCTCCTCACTGATGGCAATCCAGCCTAAAGGGGATACACCATCAATAGATGGGTAGGGAGTCAAACTTTTCCTCAGCTTGAAAATACATTTTTGTTTTCTTTGGTTTTATTAGCAAAACAATGCTACTTTTCACTAAATCATAGTTTTTAACAACGTCTTGAAAATTAGATATTAGATAATTAGATTGTTAGACCAAAGCCAAACTTACTGTAGGTACTGTGATCGTCCACCAGAATGATCTCCTTCAACAGGTGTTTTGGTGTGTGGGTAATGATGCTGCATACTGCCCTCTTAATCACAGAGAGAGCCTCGTTTACATAGATCAGCACAACGCTGATGCTGGGAAGATCTTTGGGATAATTCCTCTTCAGACATCTGCATGGTGTGAGATGATCTTTAACTTTTACACACACACACACACACACACACACACACACACACACAAAACTGTATAAACTATCAGGATTTTTTTGCAGCAACACTTACCTGGGATCTCTCATGTCGGGAAGTTTCCGATCGAGAGGAATGCGGTTGCTAAGGAAGGCATTGTATCCATAAATCTGAAAAAGAGCTTCAGCCTCCTTCTGTTCCTCTTCTGACAGATCATCGCCCCACTTTGTAAACAGGAAGGAGTTGGGATATAACTTGGACACCGGATTTTTTGGCTTTTCTTTTTTCTTATTTGGAGGGAGAACTTCATTGGAGATCTTTTGGCTGGGTTTGTCTATGAACTTTGCTTTTTTGGGAAATACAAAACAGAAGTAAATGTTACTCAGTTTTCTAGGAGGAGCAACGCAGCAAAAAAATAGTTTTTCCTAGAATAAGTGCATTTTGTCTTGAATTGAGGAGGTAAGCGAGACACTTTGCCAATGGAACAAGACAATTAACATTTAAAATAAGAAAAAACTATTGTATTGTCTTATTCCGAGTGAATATTATCCAATTATCTTATTTTAAGAGAAAAAATCTTATTCCATTGGCAAATCATCTTATTTACCTACTCAATGGGCTCTATGCACAGCTCCACTACTTCCTGAATTTAAAGCAGCTCCTTTGTTTCCTGTCTTTCATGATTGGATGCACTGATTAATCCAGGTGTGTATGACCTAAGTAACTGGCCAGACACACCTGGATTAATCAGTTCGTCCAGTAATGAAAGACAGGAAACAAAGGAGCTGCTTTAAATTCAGGAAGTAGTGGAGCTGTGCATAGAGCCCATTAAGTCTAAATACACTTAATCACTTAAATTAATAAATCTTTACTTATTATTTCTAGATTGTTTTTGCAGGGAATGTTTGATCTTTGCTCAAAATATGCCTAGAATATTAAAAGTCGAAAGAAAATTTCTTGATTGATCTGGAAATTGTTCTGGAAATGTTGTCAATTTTTGGATTGCTTAGATGGATGTGCAACTTTAAAATATTTTTTTTTGGAGTTTCTACGGTACTAGTGGCTCATTTTTCTGACAGTAGGCTGACAGGAAAGAGGGCATGAGAGAAGGGGAGAGACATGCAGCAAAGGACCACAGGTCTGATTCGAACCTGGGTCGGCCACGTCGAGAACTAAGGCCTCCATACACTAACAACTGCGGCATCAAAGCACGCACCTGACATGCAACATTAACTTTTACATCAAAACAGCCTACATCAGTGTTTTCCAACCTTTTTGACTTATGTACCTCGTTGGGCATTTTGCATGACCATGAGTACCTCTCTTAGTCAAAGTATTGATAATTGTCCAAAAGTGGAACCTATAATAATTGATTATAAAATCAACTTTATTTTACTTATTCTTTTCATTTAAGCATTCAATTCTTATCATTTATTCTTTCCATCTTAAACAAAAAGTTCTTGGAAGTTAGTAAGGAATCAAAATAAATACAAATGAAATCATATTATAAACCTGTATTTATTAAACTGGAGCTCTGCAGAATCCCGTTATATTTAAACTTGATGAGTTGGGAACAAAATATTGTTACTGACATAATTACTTTTACTTTGTTTTCATCAAGACCCCTAAACTGCTTTGATGAACTCTGATTGCTCAGTGTGAAAAACAGCTAATACCAGGCTGATCTCTAGATCCAGTCTCTTCCTCTGCTTGGTTTTAGTGAACTCAAACATATAAGAAAAACCTACTTTTTGGTTGAAAAAAGTTACATTTTCAGTTGTGTTCTAACAAAACAGATCCCAACTCTATTTTATTAAATAAAATATTTTCCTGCACCCCTTGCGATGCACTGGCGGACCACTAAGGGAATCACTGGCCTACACTGTACACTTTGCACTGCTTGTGCATTTCCTTTTGTTGGTGTTATCCGCCATTCGTAACGTTCATGTTGCTGGTCTGGAAACAAGATGCTGCCCCTCCCTCACATTCATGGCACACAGTCTCCAGCATGAAGCAACATTTTAAGATATTTTAATGTAGTTAAACTAATCAGTTATCAAGATCCCAGTATCATAATACTCAGTCCACTTTGCTTTACAGCCTGCTCAGACGAGCATTTTCAACACAGTTCCTTTTATTCATTGGGCTATATGCCAAACCTAACCACTTCCTGAACTTCAGCCAGCTTATCTTTCATTACTTAAGAGGCAGATTAATCAAGGTGTGGATTGTAGTAAGTTACTGAGATCATACAAACCTGGATTATTGATTTTGTCTAGTAATGAAAGGCAGGAAACAAAGGAGCTGGCTGAAGTTCAGAAAGTTTTGGAATCTGACATATAGCCTATTTGTGAGACACTCAAAGAATCAGCCTCAGGAATTTTCTAACAGTTTGTACTGTTGGTTTTATAGCACTTTTTAAAGGTTACAAATAAATAGCTAGGTTATAGAAGAACATTTTTACCTAGAAACATCATTAGATGTTAATACTCATGGTATTTTGAAGATAACTGGACTGTATTTGATGTAAGGTTGATTCGGATTTTTTTTATCATTATGATGATAGTTTAACATACATAATTTGAAGTTGTATTAAGTGTGACTTATCAAAGTTTATTCTAACTTCTTGCCTACAGCTAAGTAAAGAAACTCAAAGATCTTTAAGCAATTTCAAAGGACGGATTTAGTTGTTTGCTTTGATTTATTTAGAAATCTGTTACTCACCCAGCTTGTTTAGGGTTTCTTCAATTCTGTCCAATTTTCTACTGATATCCTCTTGATCTATGATTCTTATTGGATCCAACTTTTTCACCCCAAGCTTTCCAGTAATGGAAATAAATATGTACATAGAAAATAAAAAAGCTCCAATAACACCGACTCTGAAATACACCTTCATAGTAGTTTCAGACTGGAAATCAGGTCAATGTCTTTCTGTTCTCTCTACCATGCAGAGACTAATCAACTAAACAAGCTTTAAAGCTCAGGTTGAACTGTAAAACATGTCTTATCTGAAAGATAACTTTTATAGACCTGTGCACAATCAATGGTTATCTGATTTTTCTCAACCTAAGGGGACCAGAAACATAAATATAAATGGCTGTAAACAAAAAAAGTCCAGTAAGCTGAGCTATATATTAAGGGTTAATAATTAGTGCTTCCTAATGTCATGTTGTCAATGTTTTTCTTTGAGTTTAGAATAAAACAAGGCAGTGTTTATCTTTTATGCACTTATAATTGTCTGTATTACTAATAACAGTGTAAAGTCACAAGTGCTAAATGGAGATACATTTATAAATCACACATAGTTGTATTTGATGGTCAGAAAGGGTGCTTTTTTTATTTTCACAGCCTTAATAATCAACCTTAATCAAGTCCTTAGATTGGACTAACAATGCTTGTTTAGTTTAATCTAAATCAGGGCTACAGATTCATTAAATGAGGACCTGGTCTTGCTTCAATTAAGAAATCGGGTCAATAAATGACCATGAGTTCTGTTAAACGGAAGATAAACACTGACTACATATAAAGCAACCATGCTTCATTAACCCTACAGCAGAACCACAGGCTGATCCCCTCTATGCCACTGATCTCTATTTGTTTACTGGATTGCTGATAGACAATTGGTAGTACACAGTGCTGTGAAGTCACCAGCCACCATATTGGTACTCCTTAAATAGGCTAGTCAGAATGTAATGTGTGCGCTACCGCGTCACACAATGATGTTTTTTAAGACTATTAAACATAAAGTCATCACTTTGATACACATTAGCTGCTTCGTAGCATCAGTAGATTACCATCATTTATGATAAAAAAAATACGCACATCATATTGCATAGTCAGTATGAAGTCTATAAATCATGTAATATATTATACAGTTCCATTACAACAAAATTAGTGTGTTAAAGGAATATAATACTGTACCCAGATATTAAGAATACTACACATACGCACTTTCTGGTGACGTGCCAAAGGTGCTAAATTGATGATCTACATGTAATATACATGTATTTATATATTGTTATGGTCATTACATTACATGAATTTTTATGGCGCAACTTTGTGAAAAAGGGGTGTACCAAGATGGCGACAAGTGACTTGAGTTTTTTTTTGGTCTATCAGCAATCCAGTGAATAAAGATCAGTGCTCTATGCCACCTTACATTAGAACAACGAACCAGACCCAATACAGTCTGCAGGTAATGAAAAATACATGCTGAGCAGAAGGCTTACATTTCTGCCTGAAAAATATAATTTTTTTTCCAAGGCATAGTAAAATAAATAAAATAGGATTTATTTATTTAGTTTGATACTACTTTAAAGTAGTATCAAACCTAGACTGTCTGCTTTGCATATATAATTCACAGGTTCATTAATTCTTACCTTAAACGGCATGTCATTATTATGAAGAGCATATCTTTCTAATTCAGAAATAAGGGCTTGAAAACAGTCTGTTTATTATTTACACAGCCTTTATGAAGAGTTCCAGTCTGGCTTCCGACCACTCTTTAGCACTGAAACAGCACTCATCTAAATCACTACTCCTCATGGCCTCTGATTCTGGATTACTCACCATCCTCATCCTCCTTGACCTGAGTGCAGCTTTTGATACCATCTGTCACACCACCCTCCTCAGTAGCCTTTAATCGATTGGCTTCAATTCAATTCACTTTATTTATATAGCACCAATTCACAACATGTCATCCCAAGGCACTTTACAGTTCACCAGATTATATAGTCAAATTGATTCAAAGTTTTCTATCTAAGGAAAACCATGGCATTAACTCTCTGACTTGAAGGCATCCCTCACACTAAGCATGATTGAAGAAATCTCCAGCAGAACCAGGCTCACTGTGAGCGGCCATCTGCCGAGGCCGACTGGGGTTCAAGGAGACAGAAGCATTGATACACAGGGCAACTGTAAAAGGTGACCCCATCCAGGAAACACACAACCAGGCAGAAAAGCTCCAAGCCAGCTTCCATGTCAAAGGGTGGAGAGAGCACATCCAGCCAGTTACAGTCAGAGAAACAGGACGACACTGAAAAATAGGCCGATCTCGAACATCTATAAACAAAGGTTTGATCACTAAGCATCATTAACGCTCTGTTGGACTGATTTACTTCCTACTTCTCTGGCTACACTCAGTTCATTCAATTGAAGACCCTCAAATCCATACCCTCCCCGTCAACTCAGGTGTGCCCCAGGGCTCTGTCCTGGGGCCCCTCCTCTTCATCATCGACCTCCTTCCCCTTGGCAGTATCGTCCGCCAATTTAACATGCATTTCCACTGCATGTTCCACCCAGCTCTACCTCACCATAAAACCATTGTCTTCTCTTCTGCCCACCTCCCTCGCAGATTGCATCTCTGACCTTGGTTCACCAAGTACTTCCTTCAATTAAACAGTAGTAAAAGTGAGGCTTTCCTTATTGGCACTAAATTGTTCTCTAAACTATTTCCAAAACCGACAGCCCCTCCATCTCACCTTCCCGCCAGGTGACCCCTGGTCATCCCAGAGTCTGTGTGTCATCCTTGATAGCACCCTATCCTTTCAATCCCATATCAATAACATTACCTTGTCTGCCTACTTCCACTTAAGAAGCATCAACTGCCTCCGTCCCTCCACACTCCGAGTCTGCTGCCATACTTGTCCACAGCGTAGTCACGTCCTTACTGGATTATTTAATCTCTCCTCTTTGGCCTTCCTCAAAAATCACTCCATAAACTACAACTGGTCAAGCATTATAACAAGAACTTATTTCCACCACATCACCCCGGATCTCCAACTGCTCGTCCCTTCTGCCCGTCTCGCCACCATGGGGAGTAGAGCTGCTGTGCCCCCCTCTCTACCACCCCTACCTAGAAACACGGACTCACTCCTCCATTTCAAATCGCCTATTCTCTTTAATATCAATTTCCCTGTTCCAGCCTGTGCATTTTTTTTTAAATGGTTTTTGTTTTGACTTTTTCTGCCTTTTCTATTTGTTCAGTTTTTACAGCACTAGCGGCTGTTTTTTGGACAATAGGCTGACAGGAAAGGGGGTATGAGAGAGAGGGAGAGACATGTAGCAAAGGACCACAGGTCAGATTCGAAGCCGGGTTGGCCGCGTTGAGGACAAAACGCCTCCATACATGGGTCATGTGCTCTAACGACACAAGACCACCCTGCCATTGTTTTCATCCGTTGTATGGTGACCTTGAGTGTCCAGAAAGGCGCCTTTGAAATAAAATGTATAATTATTATCTGCCTTTTATAGACACTGAAACAAATACAATTATTTTATATAACTGATTTGTTTTAGTATGATCATTGTTTAAAAATTTTATACTACTGTGAAGCAGAAAAAACCCCACAAATACACTGTAAGGATAGTCTTTTATTTATGTACAGAATACCACTAAAGAAAGATGAATTATTGAAGGAGATTTTCCTGCTTTAGTTTAATAGTTGACTGTCTTGGCAGGCTTTGTCTCGTCCAGTTCAGCTTCAAGGTAACGGAACCGGCGATGGCGACGAAGGATCTCAATTGCCTTTTGCTCTACAGAGGAAGCTGTGATACCCAGATCCTCCAGGCCAGGAAGTCCTGGATACTTCATGTCTGTTGTGTGAAACTTGGGAAAAAAATCAAGTCACAAGATTAAAGTTAATCATTATGTAGGAAAAACTAAATCTAACTCAAAGAACCAGTCCGTTTTTCATGATCTTACCCTGTCAATTTTATCTGGAGTTGTCCATGGTTCAAAGGGATTCATTGCAAAAATCTTTGCTGCGAGGCTAAAAATAAGAAGCAGGCACTTCGTCATCACCCTTTAAACATAACACTGTTTAGACAAGTTTTGTTTAAAATATGTCTAGGATAAAAGGGTAGAACGTCAACATAGAAAAATGTTTTTCTTTTAACGTCATCTTTTGTTGGGTCCAGATCCTGTGTGTCTAAAGGGGAAAGAGTGTCAAACTGGAATTGTGTGCTTACTGGTAGAGAGGGCGAGGCAGAGGGTAGGGCACGAAAGGCCTGTGGGCCACGGCGTAGATGTACTCCACCAGGTCATGAAGGACATAGCGGTTTGGGCTTCAGAAACACAAAGTCAGTTATTAATAGACTGAACCGATGGACCCAGTTTTTCCAAAGCAACAATGACAAACAGTGACATACTGACAGCCTGAGGCCAGAAATGTTTTCTGTTAAAAAAAAAAGAACTAAAACCAAACAGGCTTCTTAATTAAAAATGTATTTATCTCTTAAAAAAATAAAAAAAGAAAGAAGCTTTGTCTAATAATTTAGCCAAAATTTCAATGAAAGTAAAACCACAAACGTATATATATATATTTTAGACAAAGCTTTATTCTTTGCTGTTCACACCTCACATTTCCACATTTTGTCACATTAATTAATCTTGCAAAACAAATCCCCCCCCCCTAATCTGAGCAGAGCAGTGCTCTCTGCATGTTTGCTGTGTAGAAAACAGCACTTCTCTTACGTTTCTTCTTTTGCTTTTCTATAACAAAAAAGGATTTGTGATGTGCGCCAGTGGTGGCGATCCAGGTGAATGTTTAGCCCAGCTGAACTGTGGATCTCTGCGGGTTCTCTAGAGTTACTGTGGTCGTCTCTGCTGTTTCTCTGATAAATGCTCTTCTTCAGTCTAGGAATTTACAAAGAGCTTATTGGTGTGGTATTTAGCCACTTTATATACTTCTTATGAGATAACAGTAGGCATGGCGGGGCTAATAATGAGGTCACTTCTGATGCACGTTGGTTACTTTCAAGTTTTTAATATAATACTTATGTTAATGCAAAGTATTTGGAGAACCTTGGATTATTTTAGATCACAACCATCCACCCCCCCCAGTTGCTCTACAAC